CCATCTTTGATCTGATTATGAAACACACTGATATGTATGATGTATGTGCCAAATACGAATGAAAATGGTACATAAATTGTGGAAATATACCGTAGTAGTAAGGCCAAAAGTCAGATGGCTGTCAATCGGCCATCCTTGACCAGATTTTGAAACAAATTGTCATGGACATGCATCCTATCATGTATAAAGTACATGTATGTGCCAAATTTGAATGAAAACTGACAGAGCACGTCCAAGATACCACATAAAAAAAAAAACATGCCTGCCAGTCGGCCATCTTTGATCCAATTGCGAAATAAATCGTCATGTATCCTAACATGTATAATCTATGTACCAAGTTTGAATGACAACTGACAAAGCATGTCCAAAATACAACATTTTCAAAAAACAAGATAGCTGCCAGTCGGTCATTTTGAATTGAATCGCTAAACCACTGCATGTGCATATGTCCCACATAAGGTACTAGGCACATGCAAAGAATGAACGGAATCGGTTCACAGGATTCTGAAATATGACTCTGGACAGACTGACGCACGAACGGACGGACTGACGCACGGACGGACGGACAGACTTAGGAACTCACGGATGGTCGGGGACATGTATCCTAACATGTATGATCTATGTACTAAATTTGAGTGAAAACTGACAAAGCATGTCCAAAATACGTCATTTTCAAAAAACAAGATGGCTGCCAGTTGGCCATCTTTAATCCACTTGTGAAATAAATCGTCATGGACATGTATCCTAACATGTATAATCTATGTACCAAGTTTGAATGAAAACTGACAAAGCATTTTCAAAAAACAAAATGGCTGCCAGTCGGCCTTTTTGAATTGAATCGCTAAACCACTGCATGTGTATATGTCCCACATAAGGTACTAGGCACATGCAGGTCCACAGGATTCTGAAATATGACTCTGGACAAACTGACGCACGAACGGACGGATAGACTCAGGAACTCACGGACGATTAGGGACATGTATCCTAACATGTATGATCTATGTACTAAATTTGAGTGAAAACTGACAAAGCACGTCCAAAATATGACATTTTAAAAAAACAAGATGGCTGCCAGTCGGCCATCTTTGATCCAATTGTGAAATAAATCGTCATGGTCATGCATCCTAACATGTATAATCTATGTACCAAGTTTGAATGACAAAGCATTTCCAAAATACAACATTTTCAAAAAACAAAATAGCTGCCAGTCGGCCATTTTGAATTGAATCGCTAAAACCACTGCATGTGCATGTGTCCCACATAAGGTACTAGGCACATGCAAAGAATGAACGAAATTGGTCCACAGGATTCTGAAATACGACTCTGGACAGACTGACGCACGAACAGACTGACGCACGCACGGACGGACGGACAGACTCAGGAACGGTCGTGGACATGTATCCTAACATGTATGATCTATGTACTAAATTTAAGTGAAAACTGACAAAGCATGTCCAAAATACGACATTTTCAAAAAACAAGATGGCTGCCAGTTGGCCATCTTTGATCCACTTGTGAAATAAATCGTCATGGACATGTATCCTAACATGTATAATCTATGTACCAAGTTTGAATGAAAACGGACAAAGCATGTCCAAAATAAAACATTTTCAAAAAACAAGATGGCTGCCAGTCGGCCTTTTTGAATTGAATCGCTAAACCACTGCATGTGCATATGTCCCACATAAGGTACTAGGCACATGCAAAGAATGAACAGAATATGTCCACAGGATTCTGAAATATGACTCTGGACAGACTGACGGACGGACACACGAACGAACGGACGGACAGACTCAGGAATTCACGGACGATCAGGGACATGTATCCTAACATGTATGATCTACCGGTATGTACTAAATTTGAGTGAAAACTGACAAAGCATGTCCAAAATAAGACATTTTCAAAATCAAGATGGCTGCCAGTCGGCCATCTTTGATCCAATTGTGAAATAAATCGTCATGGACATGTATCCTTACATGTATAATCTATGTACCAAGTTTGAATGAAAACAGACAAAGCATGTCCAAAATAAAACATTTTCAAAAAACAAAATGGCTGCCAGTTGGCCATTTTGAATCGAATCGCTAAACCACTGCATGTGCATATGTCCCACATAAAGTACTAAGCACATGCAAAGAATGAACGAAATCGGTCCGAGGGATTCTCAGATATGACTCCGGACGGACGCACGGACGGAGACCGAATTATAAGTCCCCGTTTTCGGACTTTGTCCAAACAGGGACTAATAATGATAGACAGAAAGCTGTGGTTGACCAATTCAGAAATGATATTGTGATGTTAGTTTCAATCAATATTAATGAGATAGTTCAACATTATCCAATCAAAAAGAACCTCATTTGGAATGTGAATGGTCGCAGTTGTTCTGTCTTATGAAGGCTTGTGTGTACATCATAGATGTAGACAATGTTTCAAGCTCTTGAAAAATCAAAATCCTCGCTTTGTGCCTCTCATAGTATTGTGTTATTCATTCTTCAAAAATAAGTTTTGTAAGAGAATGATTCAGATGATGGAAAATGTATTTGAATTCATAAAGCCACAAATGTTTTTATATAAAGTATATGAAATGTTACATTGTTACATACATTGATGATGATGTAGAATAGTATCTTAAAAATACAATTTTTGTGCTACACATTGCACATACCAAATACTTTCTTGATGACTTCACTGACCTTAATAATTTGGGAAACGCCTACACTCAGATTGTCTAAACATGAAGAGAATGTCTTGAAAAGTCTAAATTATTTTTTCTGAAGGAATGATTCAGTGGAAATAACATTCAACTCGTCAAAAATAAGTTAAAATAAATTCCATACAAAATACCCAAAAATCTTTTCAGCGTGAATTAACTCCAGCAAAAATTATTATAGAGGTATTTTACAGTAGTCAACACAGGACTACAGTGATTCAACATAATCATGAAACTTTTTGATAATTTGAAACAACATGAAAATGAATGTTTGAACAACACTTCCCAATTTACTGCAAAAGTGAACCCAGTGAACCCAGTAAATACTAGTATATAAAATTTAGCATAGAACGCATTATCTAAATGATAAAACCGTGAATTTAAAACCCACTTAATATGCCTGAAATGGTAAATCAGTGAAATTTAAACCCATTGAAAATTAGTCATTTTACAGTAATTGTATATGCCCCTCCTAAGGACACCTATAGTTATCTAGAGGGGCAGATACAATGGAATTTAGGTGAGGGATATAGTTAGGATTAGAAGTGGGGGGTATGAAAGGAACAAGTCATAGTCAATGACACGTCCCCGTTCCGTTCATATTTGAGTGACATATACATTCATAGCAGATCATGACCGAAATGCACCTGTATATGTACAACACATTGTACTAAATCTGAACAAAATCCATTCATGCATGACTGAGATTCGGTTGCGGAATTGTGAAAATACGTGATTTTGATGCATTTTCGGCCTTAAACTGGCCATCATTCAACTATTGTTAAGCGGGTCATGAAACAAATGCACATATCTATTTGTGACATGATGTAC